GGGGTGCGGAATCGAACCACTGCTCCTCCTGGCTCTGTGCCCACTCTACAGATGAGGAAGCCGACGTTCGCAGCAGGGAGGGATTTTGCATCAAGACCGGTACCCACACTCACCCCTGGATCCCTCCCTCATCCCGGCAACGGTTCCCAATTCTCAGTCAGGGAAACTAAGGCCCATAAGGGGTCAGTGTGCGTCCATAGTCACCCAGCTGCACCCTCCTCCTCCAGGGAGCAGTGTCTACCCAGACCAACCCGTCCACATGCCCTACCATCGTTGGCGCCCCAGGGAAACTGAAGCAGACTTGTCTTATGGGGACCTGTGGGGAAGATCTCCTGCCCTCCAGCTGTGGACAAGCAACTTGAGCCAGAGAATTCCTCTTCACCCTTCAAGACCCAGTGCCAAATGCCCCTGCTGGAAAAACTTTCCTAGCTTGTCACCCAGAAAGATGCAGAACACCCTTGTCATCCCTGCCTACATGAACTCCATCACACGCTATCGTCTTTTTGTCCCTTTATTTGCTTTATTCAGTGGCCAGCTCTGGGAGACAGGGCCGGGTCTGGCTCGTTAACTGCTGTCTCCAGTGCTTGCACACAGCAGGCACTCTATAATTGCTTGTTGCTTTGAGCAACTGCTCAGACAAGGACGCGTGGTTACATCACTCTGCGCTGCCCTGGAACTTTCCTTAGCTCCCCGCAGCCTACCAATCCCCCAGCCTCTTCCTACATTAACTGGGCCTCCCCACGACAAATGCCATGGAGACCTTCTTGTGGCCCTGGCCTGTGGGAGGCGCTCAATAACCACCGGTCAAATAAGGGCCCAGGAGCACCCTGCATGGAATTCTCCCATCCCAGGTGGGGGACTGGAGAAAGCCAGTCTTCTCCCCAGACCCCGCAAGGCACAGGGCAGCAACTGTGCATGGAACATTCCAGCTCTAAGGAACGCGTCTACACTCAGCTGATATCTTTCACGCACAAGAAACCATCTCCTTTTGGAGCCAGCGTTAGAGACGCAGGGGACAAACTCCGTTAGATGAAGAAAAATGCAAGTACCGGCCAGCAGCATGAATGGAATTTTGAGATGACTAATGAGAGCTGGGTGGCTGGCTTCCAGGTGACAAGGCTACCTCATCCAGCCACCTGGCCAGGCATCCCAGGACAGGGAGGGTCATACCAGTGAGCCCCCACCCCCACCACTGTTCTGGGTGAGGCGCCAGGTTAAGACCACCTGGGACCACCTGGGCCTCACCCCAACCTGGGGTAAGTTCCCTATGCCAGCATGAGTCCCCAGAAACGGACCCATCCTGGAGAGGGGATATCTTCTCACCCTAATGTGGCCCTCAGCAGTCAGTCAGTCAGTCAGTCGACAAACATTACTGGCTGCTAGTTCTGGTAGGTACGCAAGCACCCGACGGTGCCTTGGGTCCCCGTCGGATTCACGGGGGAACCCCCTGAAGCCGCCCTATCTCGGGTCCTGCTGTTACACCTCACCTTCCCCCAAGGCCCACTACTTGCATGACCTGCGCTGGGTGCCCTGGCCTCTGCGCCTCAGCTCCCAGCTCTTTTTTTCAAGCTTTTTTTTGATGTGGACCATTTTAAAAGTCTTTATCGAATTTGTTACAATATTGCTTCTATTTTATATATATATATATATTTTTGGTACGCGGGCCTCTCACTGTTGTGGCCTCTCCCGTTGCGGAGCACAGGCTCCAGACGTGCAGGCTCAGCGGCCATGGCTCACAGGCCCAGCCGCTCCGCGGCATGTGGGATCTTCCCGGACCGGGGCATGAATCCGTGTCCCCTGCATCGGCAGGCGGACTCTCAACCACTGCGCCACCAGGGAAGCCCCTATTTTATGTTTTGTTTTTTTGGCCCCAAGGCACGTGGGATCTTAGCTCCCCGACCAGGGATCAAACTGGCACCCCCTGCAATGGAGTCCCAACCACTGGACCACCAGGGAAATCCCTCAGCTCCCATCTTTACAAGCTCAATGGTAGTAGTTCTGACCTCCCAGCTACCCTGCACATCGAACAAGTGGACACAGGCAAGGTTTTTTTCCTTAATTGTGGTAAAATATACATAAAGTTCACCATTTTAATCATTTTTAAGTGCACAGCTTGGTGGCATTAAGCACATTCACGTTGTGCAACCATCCCACCATCACCTCTAGAACTTTCTCATCTTCCCAAACTGAAGCTCTGTCCCCATGAAACCCTGACTCCCCACCCCGCCCCCAGCACCTGGCCCCCACCATCTACTTCCTGTCTCTGTGGATGTGACCCCCCCAGGGACCCCCGTGAGTGGAATCAGACAGTATTTGTCCTGTGTCTGGCTTCTCTCACTGAGCATCATGCCCTCAACGTTCATCCCTGTTGTAGCAGGTGTCAGAATCTCCTTCCTTTTTAAGGCTGAATAATATTCCCTTGTGTGAATGGACCACACTGTTTTATCATCTGTCAATGGCGACTTGGGTTGTCTCCACCTTTTGGCTGTTGTGAATCACATTGCTGTGAACACGAGCGTGCAAACATCTCAAGTCTCTTGCTTTAATTTCTTTGGAGGATGCACTCAGGAGGGGGATTGCTGGAGTGTATGGTGATTCCACATTTAATTTTTTGATGACCCTCCAGACTATTGGCCATAGCGGCTGTACCATTTCACCTTCCCACCAGCAGTGCACAAGGGCTCAGATTTCTCCACCGCCTCCTGACACGTTTTGTTTCTTAAATAGCAGCTGTCCTGGTGGGTGAGAGGTGGTATGCCACTGCAGTTCACATAAACTCAGCACACATGCAGGAGTCATCTGTGAATGCTGGGTGCCGCCTGCACCTGCCCCTCTGGCAGTGATGGACCAGGATTCAGGGTCAAATTGTGCTTCTACAGATTCTTACAGACGGCATTACTGGCCGTGTGCCTGGTGCCTGTGACACACCTGCTCAGCCGCACACCAGCTCCTGAAGGCTCCCCGCAGGCCGAGGTGGTGTACGTTCCCTTTTACAGATGACACGGAGCCTCGGGGCCAGGTGTGGCTTGCCCGGGGCCCCGTAGAGATTTCAGGGAGAGAGGCAAACGGGCTCCAGCCTTCACGGCCCACCAGCAACCTTCTCTGCAACCAGCTCCTGCCAGCTGACCTCCAGTGAACTCCCTCGGCACGGCCCGCGGAAGGGGGACAGGAGACCTTGCAGGCCCACAAGGACAGGTGGCAGGGACAGCGTGGGCAAAGACGGTTGTGTGTCAACTGGAGGATCTTCCCAGGCCCAGCCAGGCAACCCCCTCTTCAGGGCTGAGTCATTAAAATGACAGCCCCAGGGGTGGGGACCCCACCCAGGGGTGCCTACCCTCACCCCCAGCCATAGGTGTGGCAGGTGAGCCAGGAGGAACCCCAGGACCCAAGGCGGCAGCTGAAGGTCCAAGGCAATGAGAACAATATCCCTGCTCCCCAGGGAAAAACCCAGAGCCCAGGAGGTGGCTGCCAGACATTGGGTGATCTCCAGCCCATCTCCTGGCCACCTGCCAGCTCCTGCCTGGGACTCCACCAGACAAAGAGCAACACCGGGGCCTCAAAAACTGGCATCTCCTTCCAAGCCACTGAATCACGGGGCGAGTGCAGACAGCTGGGGGCGTGGGGCAGCATGCCCCAGGCTCGGCACCAGGGCTGCCAGGGACCCCCCCACCAGGGCCAGGGCACAAGGGGCCCGGGCAGGTGAGGTGGCTCTTGGCCCCAGGGGAATCTCAGCCCAATTCTGAGGCCCTCTCATCATCTTCCGGACCCTCTGGAAACCAAGGGAGTGAGGACGGACTGGGCGCACACTGCAGACAGGAAAACAGCTCTGGGTGCTCTGGGGAGGAGGGCGCAGCTCCAATCCCCAGCTCTGCTCTGACAGGCTGCCTCGCGACCCACCCCCCCCACCCCGCCTCACTTCTTGGGATCCACCAGTGGCCCAGGGGCTGCACCTACAACGTGGACCCTATCAGCCAGCAGGACTCCTCACCTGGCAGCTCCCTGGTCAAGGCAGGCCATGAGAGTGGGTGCAGAGCCCCAGCAGGGATGCCCACTAGCTAAAGATATGAACCAGGCGCTGGCCCCCAGCCGAGGTCATTACAGCACCTGCTAAGTCATGCGGATTTTCTGAACCATTAAGCAGACTGTCATTTGGGGGCAGCTTTCTGGAAGGTTCCATGGGCAGCCTCAGGGCCCACCTCTCGGCTGGGCTCCGGGTGCCAGCTGGCAGTGTCCCTGTCTCCCCTGGGCAGTGGGGGTAGGGCCTGGCTTCCCTCCGGCCTCTGACACCAAGAAGGTTCTGGTCAAGATGACCCTGGCCCAGAATTGGCTGCCACCCCAGAGCCAGCTGCCCTGACCCAGGTTGGGGTGACGGGACCAGTGTGACTACACTGCTGTCCCTGAGTCACTCCTGCCCCTGGGGACCTCGTCCTGCAGCTCCCAGGATGCCCCTGCCCTGTCCCACTGGTGGCATGGCCTCTGGGTCATGGAAAGGCACTGGGGCAGCAGGTGAGTTAAGAGGTGAGAACCAAGGCTTCTCGACGCTAGATCTGAAACTCGGACGCTGTGATGGCTACGACGAGGCCCCTGAGGCAGGTCCCGCCACCGGGGTCCTGAGCCCGGCGTGGGCACAAGGAGGCCGAGAGGCAGGATTTCAGCTCTTTTGTTAGATGTGGCACAGCACCAACATGACATGGGAGGTCACGGAAGGACAGCGGGTCAACACTGGACCACGACCCCTGGTGGGGGTGGCAAATCCAAATGATAGGACGCTGGCAGAGGATGGGCGCGGGCCTCGGGCTCTGCCAGCCAGTCGGGAGGGTCCCGGGGGGAGCCCAGGGGGCAGGTCCGCGTGCGGGTCCGGGCGCGGGTCCGGGCTGTGTGTGTGCTCACTGGGCCTCCCTTGGCCGGGGTCGGGTGCACGTGCTCACTTGGCCGGCCGAGTGATGATGCGCGTTGAGAAGTCAAAGAGGTCGCGGTTGATCTTGCGCAGGTTCCGCACCTCGTCCTCCAGCTCTGCCACGCGGATCCGCAGCTGGTCCTGGCCACCCAGCACGCTCTGGGGGAGGGGTGGTGGAATGCTCAGAGCGGGAGGGGGCCTCAGACATCCCACTGGCAGGCAGCGGGGCGAGGCTGGCACTGAGGGCCACCGTCCCCACGGTCCATGACGGGGGGTGGGGCGGGGGCACATCCCTTCCAACCCAGGCCCAGGCCCCCTGCCGCCCTTCCCTCCGGACAAGCCCCCATCTTGGGCCCCCGCCCCCATCTTGGGCCCCTCCCCTCCCCCATTTTGGGGCCTCTCCCCTCCCACCTTCTCCAACGTGCTGCACATCACCCCGTGCAGCTGTTCCGCCCGCTCCAGGTAGCTGGGCTCTGACCCCTGGAACAGAAGGGGCCGCATTAGCTGGCCACTCCCATCAAGCCTCAAGGGACGTGCAGACAAACGGTCAGCTGGTGCCTCCAGCCCTGGGAGGGCTCAGCCGCCCTGTGAGATGATGGACCCTGCTGCCGCCCAGAGGCCATCCGTCTCTCGCTGGACCCTGTCTGGGCACGCTGCCCTGGGCCAGCAGCCCGGAGCCTGGCACAGCCATCCATCAGGCCGCCGGGAGGGGTGTGGACAGCCCCGCAGGCTCGTGTGACTCCGAGGCGCAGAGACAGCAGACAGAGCCTGGACTCATTGGGCAAGGCTGGCCGCGCTGAGGACAGGCAGGGAGGGGCCCCAGGGGCCTGGAGGGGCAGGCAGGCCGTCATGAAGGGGGTCCCATGGGCACTGGGGCTGTGAGCGCTCCCGCCGCCCAGCTGGAGAAGGTGGCTGCCCGTGCACAACCTCTGGGTCCTGATCGGCCCCTGGAACAACACCCTGTTGTTGTTCTCAAAGGGCAGCGTGGCCCGCTCCCTCTCTGGAAGGTTCCAGGGCTTCCTGAGGCCAGGGACCAGCCATCAGACTGGCCTCAACGACAAGGGCAGAGAAACCTCTTCAGCAAAGGAGCATGTGGAAGGTCCCCACCAGGACCCGACCCAAGGGCACCCAGAGCCACACGGCAGAGGCTGAGGCCCAAGGGTGGGGGTCCCTGCTGGGGGTGAGACGTACCTGCTGGTGGAGGCCCAGGCGCAGCGTGAGGCCCCCGTGGCGTGGCTCGTCCCCATGCTCCGCGCCCAGCAGGTGCTTGTTGAAGTGCGGCAAGGGCAGGCTGGGCCTGCAGTCGGAGCTCAGCATGCTGACGGGCGCCAGCACGATGCAGGCATTGGTCACAGGGCCTGGGGCAGGCGGGCAGGCAGCGTCGGGACCCGCCCTCCGCCCCTCCAGCCACCCACCTGGCCCTGACACTCCCGTGCATTCCCGTCCCCACCCTCCACGAGGCAAACCCTGGGGCCTTGCTCCAGCCCCGGGCCGCCCACATGTGGACAAGGCCCCCCGGGCCCAGGGCCTCCAGGAGGGCTGCGTGCGCCCACCTTTGAGAGCCACAGTCCTGAGGCACTGCTGGCTCTGCACATCCCAGAGGCGCACCGTCTCGTCGTGGGAGCCCGAGAGTAGCACGCTGCCATCCGTGGACACTGACAGGCAGGTCACCTGGTTCCTGGGGACAGATAGGTCACCTGGCGCCCGGGGGAGGGCGGCACAGTGACCCCCCCCCCACCTCCTGGTCGACCCCATCCCTGTACCTGTGCCCTCTGAACACCTTCCCGTGGTCCTGCTCCGGCTGGAAGCTCTTCTCTCTCTGCCCGGGCTGCGGAAGCGGGAGGGCCGGTGAGCACAGGGCACAGCTGCATCTCAGCCCCAAGCCGCGCACACCCCCGTCCCCCACGCCCACTCACCCAGGTACAGAGGTCGACCTGGAAGATGGAGCCGTCACTACCACCGCAGAACATGTGATGCTCAGCCAGGTCCATGGTCACGGCCATGATGCTCACGTCGAAGAGCACAGACAGCAGCAGCTCGCCGGAGGAGACCTCCCACAGCTGGGGGCAGGGACGGGGGCATGGGTCTGAGAGCGGAGTGGAGCGCAGCGGCCCAGCCGGGAGACTCTGGATGCCACAGGAACCTCAGACGGGAGCTGTCACCACGGGGGGCTCGGGGGTTGAGGGACCTGCTTCTCACGCTGGGACCCCTCGCCACCACCGGCTTCAGTTACTGTCAGCCCCCAGGCCACCACCAGGTCAGCCCTGGACTGCCCCAACCAGGGACGAAGACCTGAGGACTCCCTAAAATCCCCTGAGGCTTGGCCAGGAGCTGCCAGGTACAGTGGCCAAGTGGGAACTTCCAAGCCAACACAGGCCTGGACTGCCCCCTCCCGCCGCCCCCCCCCCGGCCCCCGGCCGTCCTTGAGGCCCCAGGCAGCGGGGGATTAAGAGCTGTCTGGAGCCACCAGCCAGTGGGAGGAGATGATGCTCTGGTTCCTATGGGCCAGGAACCCGCCAGCCGCCAGGCTCAGCTCACAGATCCACTGCAGGGGTCAGGGCAGGGCCCTACCTTCACTGTCTGGTCCAGCGAGGAAGTGGCCACCCGGGCCAGGGGCCCACCAAAGCCGCAGTGCAGGTCTGTGATGGGGAGGGTGTGGCGAGACCACACGTGTCGGGGGGCGGGGGTCCGGGAGGGGTCTGCCTGCAGCACGCTTGGGGGGTGGGGAGGAGCCGGACCTCAGCGGGGAGGGCGGCCCACATCTCGACGCCTTTATACCCTGTCTCCGGGCAGCAACCAGGCCCCCTCACCCGAATAAAAGTCCTGGGTAGCTGCCCAGGGCCCCGTCCTCCTGGCACCAGCCTACCTGACCTGGAGCCCCTTCCCACCCCGGGGCCTGGCCTCTCTGCACAGCAGGTTCCCCGCCCTCGTGGTTAAGGCCTCGCCCGGCCAGAGGCTACAGCCGGATGGGGAGCCGCCAGGGCCAGGGCTCTACCTGCAGAGGCTCCAAGCCAGCACCAGGCAGTCCTTGCCCCCCGAGACGAAGTGGCTGCTGTCCCCCGTGAACTGTAGGCACGACACATCCTGGTAGTGGCGGCTCAGGATGACCAGAAGGTTCCCCGTGGAAACCTGGGGAGGCGGAGGGGCACCGGGTCACGGGGAGCCCTGGGGGAGTGGGAGGGGAGAGGGGGGAGGGCCCTCCCCAAGCGGCTCTGAAGTGAACAGGGAGGCTGCGGGGCCGTGCCCCCTTGGATCCTGCGAGCACCTGTTCCCACCCTGTCCCCAGTGAGATGACACAGCCCCAGGGAAGGTGTCAGCAAGGGGACAAGGCCGAGGGGGGCTGGTGAGGGAGGGTCTCTCCAGGATCGGCTGGACCCAGGGGCGATCTTTGCAGCCACAGCTGCAAGTCACCATCTTCCGAACTGGCTGGCGGGGGGCACAGATGCTGCCGCAGGTTGAACTGTGTCCCCCAGACACACATGTCCACGCCCAACCTCCGGAACCTGTGACCTCCCTTGAACGGGACATAATCTCTGAAGATGTAATCAATTCAGAAGAGGTGACGTGGGAGCGAAGTGGCCATTGTCTCTTTAAGAGGGACACCTGGACACAGACACACAGCCGCTCACCCCGCTGCAAAAGGAAGGAGAGAGGCTACACACAGAGGCGGATACAGGCATCAGAAAGCCCCCAGCCTGTGTGCCAGCCTTCGGTTAGCCCCGTGGGGCGCCCCCTCGTGGCCACAGCTCACGCTGGCCAGGAATTCTCCAAGAGGGTGGAGAGCCAGGACCACACAGTGTCCCCCATCAAGGAAGCCAACCACCTGAGACATCTGCTGACGGTGGACGGGCCGCTAACGTCTGCCCACACCCCCTGCACCAGCTTGACAGCGAAAAGAAGGAGTATTTCTACCACAGGGTGACCTGTCTCAGTTTCTCTCCCTGCGCCTGAACAAGGCCTCTTAGTTTCAGAATCACATACTGAGGTTTAAGAGCCCTGGAGTGAGGTTACCAGCTCTCTCTCATATCCTCGGGCCTCACACAGTCCACAGAGAACAGTCGGTTCTCTTTGCTGATCTCTGGGGCAGCCAGGAAGGTCGTTTTGCCGGTGCCGAGGTCAGGAAAGGCCTTATTCTGTTGCCTCAGATCCTGCACTGTCTACGCAAGAAGTGAGGTGAGCTTCCCCCACAAACGTAACAGACTGTCGGTGACAACTGGGTCAGTGATCTCAGCTGGCAGCCTGCAAGCGGAGCCCGCCACCCCGGTTCTGTGCTCCTATGCTCACCTCCCACAGGTATATGCTCTCTGTGATCCCTGCCAGAACGTAGAGGCCATTGGGCGACGTGGTAAGACAGGTGACCGGTCCGGGGCACATGATCTTCTGCTGAAGCTGGTCCTAGAGAAAGAAGCAGCTTCTGAGTTTCATGCCCGATGAGGGAGCAGGGGGAAGCGAGGCGAGTGGGAGCAGCACCCAGACAGCTGGTAAGTCCAAAAGGACCAGAAAGAGGAGTGGGGACAGGGGTGGTTTGACCCAATCCATGGTTCAGGAAGGTGGGTGTTTGCTCCAGCTGAGGCTTTGCAGGGCGGGGGTGGAGGTGGAGGCCTGTGGATTCTCCTCAAAAGCAAGACAGCGCTGCAACTCCCCATGCTCCCAGTGCGGGAAGGTGGGGGGGTGTCCAGGTTTGGTCCCCAGGGAACTAGATCCCGCATGCCCCAACTAAAGATCCCGCACGCGGCAACGAAGATCCCATCTGCCACAACTAAAACCTGGCGCAGCCGAATAAACGAATAAATACTTTTTTTTTTTTTTTCTAAAAAGCAAGACAGTGAGTCTCTGGACTGGGGGTCAGAGGAACCGTCTGGCCACTAGGCTTTCGCCCCAGTCCTGCATCCCCTGAAGTCTCGCCTGGGATCGTAAGCGTCAGTTTCTAAATGTCTGAAATAGAACAACTTCTCAAGTTTGTGTGTGTACCACACCAGGCAGAACCGGAGCACTGAGCTTGCCGAAAGACATGGCAGCTGGCAAAAACACGTGGCGAGCAGCTTCAGGGGCTGCATTTCGAAGTTTCTGTAGGAGAAACCGTGGGCCCTAATGGCAAAAAGTAAGCGTCTTTTCAGGGGTGATAAATACACGAGTCTCCGGGCTCCCCTTCAGCGGGCTCCCCCAGGCCTCAGACCTTCACCCTCCAAGCCCACGATGCCCACGGAAACCCTACGGCAAACTCCTTTCAATTACACTTTCCGCCCCACGCCGGCTCCAGCGCAGGGCCCCCAGGAGACCCACACCCAGCTCTCCTTGTGCGCGTGCGCACCGCTGGCTGCCCCGAGGCCCGCCCGCCACACCTCCAAGCGGCAGCCCACCCTCAGCTCAGCGCGTGCGCGCAGCGCCCTAACCGCTCCCACCGACGCCGGGCGCGCGGCTCCCTCCCCCCACCAAAAAGCCCCCAGACCCGCGCGTGCGCAGAGCATCCTAATAGGATTCCCCACTTCCCACCGGGGTTCAGGGCCCGTGCGGCCCCCACCGCCCCCTCTCCCGACCCCAGGCCCCTGAGCCCCGCGCATCCCGCCAACGGCGCCCAGGCGCGCGCCGCCGAACCTTCCTCTGTAGCTCCCAGGCGCTGATATAGTTCTTGCCCAGCTGCGCCGCCAGCAAGTACTCGCCATTGAGCAGCGCCAGGCCGCGAGGCCCGGCCTGGCCGCCGCGGTATGTGAGCAGATTGGCGCCCGAGTGCAGCTCCCACACGACGCAGCTCCACAGTTGGGCCGCCGAGTCGGTACACACGGCCACCTCCACGGGCGCCGCCATCATGCTTTCTCCACCGCCCAGGACATGCGTCATCACCAGCGAGACGCGGGCGACTGCGCCCTGCCGGCTAGAGCGGTGCCCACGTTGCCCGGCTCCCGGCGGCTGGCCGACCTGAGCGTGCGCACAGGACTCGGGGAGGGGGCCCGGTGAATCAGGCGGGCTCTTCTTTCCCGCTCCGCGGAGAATCAAGGGACGCACAGCCTGGTTAGAGATCTTGGAAGGAGATTTCTTTCAAAAATAGATGGAGAAACCCAGGCCGAGGGTCTCCTGAGAGCGGTTAGTAGCTTCAGAGCCTGGAGGTCTGGCTTGGCCATTTCCACTGGGCGCTTTTGGTCAAGCACTCAACCTCTCGGATGATGATGGTGATTATTTTTAACGTGCGTATATTGAATACCGACTTCACAGGCCCGAATGAGACATTGCACGTAAAACAGACTACGCACCTAACATAACAGGTAGCTGGTGTTCAAAACGTAGTTAGACGCATATTCACGGATCCATCGTCCGCCTCCCCCGGACCTCTCTTCTTCGGGGGCCACAAAATCCACATTTTTATTTCGGCAACTTGGTGCGGGTCGAACAAGTCGCGAGCTCTGTCTGGGGAGCACCCAACAATCTCGTGTGAGCGCTCCCGGCCGCAGGCCACGTCTACAAACAGTGCATTTTAAAATGTGGAATTAGTTGTTAACCTTTGAAAACGGGGAATTTCGCTCAGGAGTCGCGGTCTCATGGCTGTCTTGGGCGGCGTACCCACAAGCAACATTGGGGAGACTGGGTGCGGGGTGCGTCCCCCAATCCCGCTCTGCCATCCGGGAGGGGATGGTGGAGAGGAGAGCGGAGGAGGGGCCTTCCTGGAGGAGGAACGGCGCCCGGAGCCTGGGGCTCCGCAGCCCCAGGCCCGGCCGCCAGGTGGCAGGCTCGAGCCACCGACCGGGATGCCGGTCGGAGTTGCTCCCGGCCCAGGGGCCACAGCAAGAAGCAGCAACCGGGAGGAGGGGCGTCAGGGGGGACCTGCCTGATCTGGAGGAGGGGCTTCCCAGAGCAGGTGTCCTTAGAGCGGGAACTAACAACCTGAAGAGAAAGAGGGGCAGAGGTGCGTGCAAAGGCCCTGAGGCAGATCATGGAGGGGGAAGCTGGGTATGGGGACCTGGATTTTATTTTATCCCCGGCAGGGTTGGGGGGGAAGGACATGTGAAACTGAAGAACTTTTGTAAACTGGGGAGAGCTGGGTGTCCAAACCTCCAGAAGCTGCCAAAAGGGGACACTGAGGCAAGGACCATCTATTCCAAAGACGGATTGGAGCTAGAACCAACTGTTCCTGATTTCCACCCCCAGAACCAGCTGATGTTCCCTCCCTGCTTCCTCAAACTTTTTTTCTTTTTTTCTTACTGCGAGTAAGAAAAATGAAACACCTTAAATGCTAGTTTACATTTTTCAGATACTGTTTTCCCAAAACCACATCCTTCTTTGAATCCTGAATCCTGGGCATTCTGTGGAGCCCCATTTGAGAATGGGCACACTCTGCGACCCCCGGAGGTGGAACAAGGCAGCCTTCTTCTAGCCACCAACTCAGGGCTTGAACCTGGTCCTGAGCAGCGGAGCAGGTCACTGCACAGCTCTGGGCCTCAGTTTCCCCATGTGCAAATCAGGGATGCTGATTCGAGCCCTGGGTGTGTGTCCTCATCTGCGGAGGTCTGGCCTGGAAGTTTCCAAGCACCCAGGTTCCAGGACGCAGGGTGGGCCCTGCAGGTGCCGGTTGCAGGGGGACCAGTTGTGCAAACAGAAGTCGCTGCTGTGGTCACTCAGGCAGGGGCAGCCCCTGGCTCTGCTGGAGGGCAGGGCAGCTGGAGTGCTGGCCCGGCCCCCTCCCAGGCCTCTCCCTCCACTCCTCCTGTTTCCCCTCTGCCCCTCCGTGGGGGGACGCAGCTCGGCCAGGCTGCTGTGTGAGGTCAGAGGTCACCCCACCCCCAGCCTGGTTCCGGAATGAGGACAGACCAGTTGTGTCAGAAGGGCAGGACAAAAGCCACACTTTGGGGGCCTCTCGGACCACCCAGTCACCAGACCTCCTTGGTGCCAGCCTGGTTCCTGGTCCTAGACCCACTAAATCCTAGGCCTGGAGGGCATGAGGCTGGCGGCAGGAGCAGGATGGGGAAACTGAGGGACAGAGGTCTGCACAACCCCTCCGGGTCTAAGCCCCGCATTCTTCGTTCCCTACACATGTACTGAGAGCCTCCTGTTTGCAGGCCCAGGGTACACTGCCCCATCTCACGCCCTGCCCACCTGGGGCGGCGGGGACCCAGGAACAAACCCAGCAGCCCTGGCCTTTGTGGGGCCGCCCCGTTAAGTGCACTAATGGCGGAGGGGAAGGCGGATGACTCAAGCGAAAACCCTCTTCTTTTTCCGGCGTCCTTTCATCCAAACCTGCCTTTGGCTGCTGGTGGGCTCCCGCAGCTCTGCTGATCAGACATGGTTTTGAGTTTCACCTGGGAGGCTCCCTGGGCCTCCTCACAAGCACAGAGCGGGAGGCCCAGCAGGCGGGAGGCTCCTCGGGGATCTGGGAGGCTGGGGAGGAGGTGGCGGGGCCCGACCCCCTCCCGGCTTCCCCCCTGCCCCAGGGCTGTGTGACCTCAGGGCCTCTTGCCCCATCTCTGGGCCTCTTCAGAGGAGGAATGAAGATGCTGGACAGGCCGATCCAGTTTGCTGAATGGGCCTTTTTAAAACAAAAAAACAAACAAAACAAAAAAACACTTTTCCTTTACCTCCCTGGGGGGGCAGGGGGCTCTGAGGGGCAGGTGGGTTGACCCCTGTCCTCTGACCTCTCCAGGTCCCCCAGGCCCGCAGAGGCTGGAACCACGTGGATGGGCCACAGGGAGGTGTCTCCAACAGGAGTGAGTTGTTTTTCCTCACTCAACACAGACCTGGGGGCTGACCCCGGCGGGAGGGACCAGCCCAGGCCAGCCGTGGCCGGAGCAGGTGGCAGGGGAGCCATGTGGCAGGAGGCCCGCCCTGCCCACCATCCGGCCACGCTGACCTTGAGCCCGTCACGTCCTCTGGGCAGGGGGTGGGGTCAAGACATGGCTGAGGAATAGATGCCCAGAAAATCTTGCTGTGCTGGTTTGCCCGTGTGTGGGGTTTCCCTTCCACGTGTGCTGAGCCCAGGGGTCGCAAACTGCCCCGAGGGCTGAGCCCGCCCCTTGGTCTGCTTTCTTTGCGGCCACAAGTCAAGTGTAAAAATGTGGACTGAACCACAGCAGGAAGGCTGGGGGTTGGGGAGGGGGCAGAGTGGACCCCTGTCACGGCCAAGACTGCTTGGGCTGCTCCCAGTGGGCGTGGGGCAGCTCCGTGCATCTCACCCACATAAGGTCAGGGTGACACCACCCAGCACTGCTGACATGGGGGAGGGTCGTCCTCTGTGGGGCCCCGCCCCCCCCACTCGATGCCAGGAGCGCACACATCCCTGGACGTGGCCCAGTGTCCCCTGGGGGGCACAGTCCCTGCTGGACGCTGTCTGGGTCAGGCCCTGTGCCTTCTGCTGCCAGGACCCAGGGTAGGGGTGGGGCGACGCCCAAAAAACCACCACAGGAGCCGTTCTCTGTTAAAAGAAGTGTTTTGTCTTGTTTTAATATTTCATCAGCTTTACAGGGTTACAACTGTCTTAAATATTTCTGAAGTTTAAATACAATCTGCATAATAATGTTATAAAATGTAAACTTTCAGTGTTCTTTTAAATTTCAAAATCACACCTTTTTTTTTCTTTTTTTCTTTTTTTGGTCTTTTTTTTTTTTCCCTCCCTTTTAATACCTGAATGTCCTGCAAAAACTGAAATAAATCGTCACAGGCTGCCCCGCCGCGGCCAGGGTGCGACAGGCTGGGCCCGGCCAGAGGTAGAGAGTAGTTTTACATCTTTTTATTAGAAGTTTTTTTTTTTTCTCTTTAACCTGAGTTCAGGCGCGGTCCCCACGCCCTCTGACAAACCCCAGAGAAACTGAAATTTCACATGTCAGGAATGAAAGGCTGAAGTCATGTTTGCCAAGAAAAAATGCAGAAGCAAAATTAAGGGGGGAAAAAAAAAAAAGGATGGTAGTGGGCAAAAATGCTAACAGTGAGAAAAGTGACTGTACAAACACACAACTATTACAAACCAACCCGCCACCCCGTGCCCCGTCCCGCCCCCCGCCCGCCCCCCAGCCGGACAGCTACAGCCCTGCAGCCGGTTTGGAGGTCACAAGGAAGGTTCTAGAAGCAGCCCATCCACAAGCATCTCCAGAGCAGGGGAGCCCCTGGAGCCCCTCTCCACCCTGAGTTTGGGGGTCCCCACCCTCAGCATGCTGCTAAGCCCCACCTGTTCTGGAATGAACAGCACTCAGCCCCCATCCCCGTCCCGGTTTGCATAAGGGGTGCTGAGCAGCACCCCAGAAACCCCCACTGACAGGTAGCGGCGGGGTTGGGAGCAGGGGGGGCTGATGGGGGCGCCCCAGTCAGAGGCAGGGCCCCCTGGGGGCTGAGCGCCCACTGGCCCCGGGCCCCCCTCGCGTTTCCACGGCCGGTGGACTCCCCCCATCCTGGGCCCACGCCCCCCCCCATCCCTTACAATCATCAGCGTCGCCCAGCACCGCAGGCACACCCTGAGTTAGACCCGGGGGAAGGCGCCTCTCCTGCAGGACACCCGCTCCCCGAGACACACGTGGATCTCAACAGGACGCACGGGGGTGGGACCCTGAGCTGGGGGCTGGGGGCTAGGGGGGGTGGGCGGCCTGGCGGGGGTTTTGGCATCAAAAGTCAGACCTGAGGTAGAAAGAAACTCGCAGCAGAGACCCCCCTCCCCCCCACCCACGCGGCCGGCAGAATGGGGGGCGGAGTGGGGCGGGCAGAGGGCAGCCGCCCACGCTGCTGCGGTCAGGTGGGGGGAGAGGAGAGGGAGAAGGGGGGGTGATGGCGAGAGGGGAGCAGATTGTGTCTGGGGACAAAAGGATCCCCCTCCCACAATGATTGTGCCGCTGCAGTGAGAGACGGGAGGGGAGAACCTTCCAGAAGGAAAAGCAGGAAGAAAGCCCCGCGTCCAGCGCTACCCCCTCCTGGAAGGGTGGGGGGCGTCAGCGACCCTGAGATATACCAAAGAAACGGGCTCCCTCCCAAAGACACACATCAGCCCTGCAAGGCAAACCCAAACCCAGAGAGACTGGGGGCGGGGGGGAGGGGGGCTGAGGACCACCCTCACGGTCTCCAAGGCAACAAGATGACGCCGGGGTCTGGAGGCTGGAGGCGGGAGGCGGCCGGCGGCGCCCTCCCGCTCCGGGCTCGTTAGGCCGGGCTCCCTGGGCCCATTTAGAGGTTCCAGGCTCACCCTGGGAACAGCTGAGCTCCTCCCACCCCACCCCAGAGGAACGTGAAAGAGCGCTACCTTGTGGGAGCTACGGCCCCACCCAACAGCACCTGGTCCTCAGGGACCCCAAACCGCGCCTGGGCTTAGGACGGATGTGCAGCTCGCCTGGTGGAGACCTTCACCAGCCCTGAACTAATGCCCCCCAGCTGCGCGCCCCCCCCGATGCCCACCTTCTGACACGGGGCACAGGGTCGCAGAGGGAGGGGCACGGCCCCTTCTCAGCCTCTATTTAGTTCCTTTAGTTACTGCAGGGACCCCAGGAAGTACGAAGGGACAAAGTGGAGGAGATGAAAATGCTGGGGGGAGGGGTGGTGTTC